AGACTTGCAAGATTCTGTTAATGTAGCTTTACAATAAAGTAGAATTAGCTCATCTGGTTGTATTTCCTGTCTGGTCCACCTGGGAAGGCTGACAATGTGTTTGCTCAGCCATCAGTTGCACTCTTTCTGGCATGTTTTTCATCACGCCACAATAGAAATGGTGGAAGGACAAGAAACTTCAGCTATCTGACCTGAGCTGGGTTCAGGGCTGTAGCCCACTGGGGTTTATTCAACAAACCCTGATTCGTTAAGATCTCCGGCATGGCAGGTGTGAAACGAGCCATGGAGATGCCAGTGTTTCTTGGCTTTTGGGGGGCCTTACCCATGGGCCCAAGATTTGGCCCCGCACCAGGCCCCTGCTGAAGCGGCTGACCCACAAGCTGGTTCACAGACGGTAGCTTGTTGATCCCTCCTGGGTGAATCTTGTTCATCGGGGACAGGACCGGGCCGTACGAAGACGGAGAGTGGAGGTGGGTCCTGTGGGCGACAGGCAGCAGATACTGAGCCCAAGGCATGCGGAGGGCTCCATCCTTCAAGGAGGGCCAAACTGGTGCCCTCCAGGTTGGGGTGGGGGAGATCCATTCCCATCATCTCCATAAGCCAAAGGAGGAATCTGGAGTGGCATTTCTTTGCTTTAAGCAGCCACCCCCAAGACATCAAATGCAGGATTTGCAGGAGGCGGTTGAGTTTCACAGGAGTAGCTAGCAAGAAGCTCCAGATACAGGTTCCGGGCTGGACATGGCACTGGGGCCTAAGGTTGCCCACCCCTGTTAGGAGAAGTCAATCCAAAGACTATTGGGGGGAGCTAAATGCCAAAGCCATTCCGCAGAAAAGGCAATTTCAGCTACACCGGCAGAATATGGAGGCTTCTCCCCCCCCCATCAGCTCTTGGAAAGTTTTCCTTGCATCGTTGCAAAGAGGAGGCAGCATTGAAGTGGGGCTGGGGGGTCAGCTTGGGACTCACTGGCGCTGCAAAAACTGCTGCTGCTGTTGCCGGTATGACTCAACCAGCTGCTGGGGGACCAGCTCGACCAGCTCCAAACTTTCCTTGATCTTCATCAACATCTCGAAGTTTTCCCGACCTCGAACCTGAAGCAAAGGAGAACTAGATGAGCGTTTCTCGGATGGATCCAAATGTTGTCGGGGTGGGGAGCAATTCCATCGTGGGTCTAGCCCTGCCTTCCCAGCCTTGGCACCTTCTGGACTACAACTCCCATCTGCCTCAACCAGTGGCTGGAAAGACTGGGTGCTGCAGCCCAGAATATCTAGAAGGGAGCAGAGGAGTCCCCAGCTTGGGTCCTGCAACCTTTCAGAGCCAACATCTCTAATTTTCAAGGTGTTTTTTTTTTTAATGCTTATTTTTTCATTGTAAGACGCGGGTTGCAAATTGCATTCTCCCACTGCAAACCTCTAAAAAAAAAAACAGTGGAAGAAAAGCATAAATAATGGATGTATGAATCTTTGCCGCAAATTACTACTTACCGGCACATAATACATTTCCTCCTCTCCATGTCTCCGTTTCTTAACACCGGCCCCCAAAGCTGGAATACTTTGAGGACTCTGTTTGAAAGCTGGGAAGAATCATAGCATCACAGAATGGAAGGGACCTTGGAGAACATCTAGTCCACCCCACGTCCAGGGCAGAAATCCACTACTGTACCTTGGACAATTCAGTGCACCAGAAAATTCACCCCTTCCTCAAGCAGATGCCTTCCCCACTGAGATGGGACTCCACCTCCCATCTCCCCTCCATGTGGGGGGCTCCAATCCAAGGACTTACTCCTCTTGTTGGGGTTCCCATTTTTCACGGCGTTTTCGTTCAGAGCCTGCTGCTCTCGGAAGTGATCCTCGTCGGCTTTCCGGTCTCGGCCGGGGCAGGCACAGATCCGACCTTCGAACGACCGTCGCCCCAAGACTTGCCCGCTACAGAAAACCAACAGTGCAAACAGTTGGTAACAGAAGAGAAGATGTAGGAGGTGTCAGCAAGTCATTGGAATTGAAAAACAAGCACATGCTTGGCAGAGTTAAAAATGAATTTTATTATTAATCACATTTGCAGAGCCGCCCATCTCACAATTTGGACCCTGAAATTGGCAGGTACCTCGATCTGCTCTAAAAGAAGGAAAAATTCTGTGATTATGGAATCCCACTATGAAGCGTTGTTACATCTTCCACCTAATTTCTCATCAAGAATGATTTGCAGCCCCCCACCCCCGGCCTGCTTGGATTTGGGTTTTTTAACCACCATGCAAATCCTGCTGCGCTCAAGAAGTCCTGAGATCTCTTCAATCAGCTCGGCGGGGAATCTAAAACTATCTTCCCCAGGCCTTGCAGGGATGAGCAACATTTCCAGCCCTAGGTGGAAAGCAAAAATTGCAAAATTCTTAGACGGGTCCCCCGGAATTCTACAAAATCTCCCGTACGACTCGTATGACTCGTACGAGTCTCCTGTACGAGTCGTACGAATCTCCCGTATGAATCCTCCATATGACTCCCGAACGACTCCTGTACGAGGCAAAGTTTCATTTTGGAAATCCCACAGTGCCAACTCCTGCTTCAAACGTGCTCCGGGGGACCCTTCCGTGGCACATGGCTCTAATCTCCAGCCACGTTTCTCTCAAAGGCCTTGCCTTCATGGTGGCAGAGCGCGGCTCCAGAGGAGCGTCGAACCACCCCACGTTTCATAGGACTGACTCACTCTCTCGTCTCCAGCGTGATGATGATTAAAATGGGTCGCCGGTTCATGCCTCCCACGCAGCTGCTGTTGCACATGAAGTTATACAGGATGGTGGTAAATTCGGTACCCACCTTGACAAGAAATAGAGAGAGGTCAATTTTCCAAACCGTCAGAGGGCTTAATTCTTAAGCTAAGCACCCTCCTCGCTGCAGCCCCAAGTCGAGATGGGACCCCATTTAAGAATCTGTTCCCCCCAGCCTAAAAGTTGCTGCCATGCCATGGGAGGGGAATACAAAATGGTTGTGCAGTTCTCCAATTCAAAGTCTGATTTTGTTTTTATACCAAACTGGATACCTGGGGAGTTCAGCAACTGGCAACACCTAGCCGACCCTTGACTGTTTTTTTGTTTTTTTTTAAACTAAATGCTCTGATCTTGCAAGAAGAAGCTAGAGAACTCCATCCATTGGTGTCTGGAATTTTTTTTTGGCAAAAAACCCTGAAATTTCTTTTGGCTAAAAATATAAAAAGTAGTAAAGTCCAAGTAGAACTTGACTCCTGCTGAGGGGGGCACATCCATGAGTATTCTGGGCAACAGCACGCAAGTGAATGACCACAGCCATCTTGTAGATGGGTTTTTCCATTTCCCAGTCTCCCCTCCAACTCTAAACCCAGCTTGGCCCTGCTTAGGAGGCCCAGCAGGTTGTACCCCCTCAATGAGGCCTATCAGATTTGGCTGCAGTTACTCAGATAGCCACCAGATGGTGGTAGATTTGTTCTTTCTAATGTTCATTACAGACTGCAAACATATCAACTCAGCCAAGGATGAAAATTCGGCGTGGAATGGAAACTTTCACTCAGCATCGGAAGAGAGGAGAAAGGCACATTTCCTCCTTTTGTTGCAATCTGTTTGCAAGAATAATTTCCTGAAGGCACCACCTTCCCTGCCACAAGCTTTCTTGTGGACCTTCAAGAGGACTAGCACCTTCAACAGCCAAGCAGAAGACAAAGAGACCTCTCTTCCCTGAAACAAAGCACCCCCTAAATTTGAGGACAAGACACACCACCTGGGGGGACTCATAAGGGACCATGACACTCTGTCTTCCGGTCACGGGGTCATCCACATACTGGGAGAGATTGTTGCCTTCCACGCGGATTAAATGGCTGGCGGGCGCTGAGAGGCCTAGAAAACAGAAGGCTGTTTTATTGCAAAGTTGCGTGATTGCAGCTGCGGCGTGGGCAAAGAAGTTGCATTGTGGAGCACAAACATCCCACCAAAGTAAAGTTATCTGGCTTAATTCACAGTGGACACCTGCAGCTGTGAGAAATGTTTTCATGGAGCTGTTATTTTAAGCTACACTGCTACTGCCTCCGGACGTTCCATCAAGGGCAGGTGCAGCCTCTAAGAAAATGTTGCAGAGGGAATGCTCTGCTTCTGGATTTCGACAACCAGTGATCTGGCCATGACCACTTCAAAAGAATGCTATTCTTATTGTATTATTATTATTAATTGTATAATCAATTAATGTATAATTAATAATACAATAAGTGTATTATTATTGTAATATTTATTATTATTGTAATATTTATTATTATTATTGTAATTGTATTATTATTGTAATAATAATAATAATATCCATACAATCCCTTTGCCAAACTATGTTTTACTAAACAGCAAACATGTTCCCAGTCCGCATTTAATAACTATTTAATCAGGGGAAAGGTAACCTTTCATTTGCAATTCTTCTAAGATGAACGGTTTGGCGTTTGAAAACTTTTTTTGAACAAAGTTTAACGGAAAACAACGCTGACTTTAGAGGTGGGGAACATCTGGCTGAAATGGCTCACGGCTGGGACGGCAATGCTTTACATGTGCGTTAATGACTGATGGCAGGAGTGTATTTCGTGTGCCATGATACAATTTTTTCACCAGTGGTCTGGCTCCTTTCTGGCTCCCTACTCTTCAATCGAAAGGAAATCAATCAATCAATCAATCAATCAAATCTTCCAAGGGACGTTTTTGTAGGGGACGATGGGGCAGTTAGGGAGTCTGCAGGGCCCCCCCGTAAATGAATCACAAAACCAACCCCAAACGCTAAGACATTTAAACTCCTCCTGAGAATGAGGCAGATAAGCAGATGCCTTTTTTGCCGGATGCATTTTCCTCTGTTGCAGAGAGAAACGCATTCAGGGAGGCAGAGAGTTGAGTGCAGGAGAAGATGACGAGGGTGGAAGACCGCACCGTCATTGAAATCCCGTCCGAGTTCGTGATTCGGGCACCGTTTCACCACTTCGGTCACGTGCTCCGCCTTCTTGTATACCGGCATGGCCCGGATCACGGTCCCCGGAGGAGGCGGCGTGGACACCTTGATCTGGATCGGACACGTCTTTGCAATTTGACAGTAGAGTTTCTTCAGCAGAGGGGAATACTGGAAAACGGGAATAAAGTTCGTATGAATCCTGTTAGTTTCTCCTGCACGTAGTCCGTCCTGCCCAATTTTCACATTTTTTATTTTTTTCAGCCTGCAAATTCGTGTTTGTTCCTGTGCCTAATTTTTCCTACTGGGTACTACTTTAAACTGCAAATTTCAGGCCAGGAATTGAAGCAATCTGGTAATTAAAAACAACAGCAGCAACAGCAATTCATCTCCCTAATTGCAACTCACCGGGGAAAGGCTGCAGCTGAGTGGATGAACCAGACTCAGTGGTTCAGTGTTGCAAAAAAGCGTCATGTTTCTAGTCCTTAGTGCTAAAATTTGCAGCTGGCTTTGGAAAGAGCATCTTTCGGCTTTTAAATCCGTTCCCTTGAAGGGTAATATTTTGTGGGAATGCTTCAAACCAAAGAATGGGGTCGAGTCACAACAAAATACGCAAGGTGAGTGAATTTGAGGTCGCTTGGACTTAATGAAAATTAAATTAATTCAATGCGGGAAATTGGACTGCTCCCCTTGCAGCCTGCAAAAGTTTAAAACCCAGCTCGCTTTAAAGGACAATTAATTTTCCAGGTTTTGAAAATTTCCTTTGGATCCTTATCGGCTAAGTTCCCGGAGGCAAAAATCCACCTTCTCTTTCCTAATTCATCCAATCTCACATCTTTGCCAACATGGATTTATTCCAGTCAATCTGTCAAAATGTTGCATTAGCGCATCGCATCTGGAATAATGGGTATCATAAAGCTTCATTATCGGATCATAATCATAAAGCTTCCCCAATGGCTGCCTCCTTCCTTCCTTCCTTCCTTCCTTCCTTCCTTCCTTTTGCAAAGCCAAAATTGACTCGGAGGCTTCGGTGCAAACGAAAAACAGGGTCTGCCAGTCAAAATGGAGCCAGCCAAGAAGATCTCTCCCCCCTAACCTCTGTAGCAATCTGAGCGCAAACACGCAATGGGTGGCAGTATATATCAAATAAATAAAATTGATCAACATGTTGCCTCTGGCTGTTTGTTTCCTTCTTCCCATCAGATACAATCATCATTATGATAACAATTTTAGCAACAGCGTGGCCATCCCTGGAAACCATTAAGTCACTGTTGCGCTGCTTAAACAGAAGAACCACCGTGTCGTTTGCACTGTGATGCCAGGACCCACAACGAGATTGCTTATATATTTGTTTTATTCCATTTATGAAGCCGCCTGTCTCGAACCAGCGACTCTCCTGGAGACCTTATTGTTGCCACTGCTCTGTGGCTTAGCCACTTTGATTTAGAGCAGGGTTAATCATCACTTTATTTCTTGCTTTGACCGCCAGTCACAACAAAGAAGGGGAAACCTGCACAAAAATGGCCGAGCGTGAATAAAATACTTTAAAATATACAGAAATCGGTAACAGCATTAAGGTAGTGTTATTTACAGCAGGGGAAGTGTCATTTGGGCCTGATTCATATAAAATGGAATATCTAATGAATTTAGATAAGGAGACGCTGTTATGGAAATTAGCAAGCTTTGCAGGGGCTGCTGCTAAACAGAATATTTTATCAAGAGTTCCTAATGTTTTCTCGTGTTTTACCTGCTGTAATCACACTATCTTCATCTTTTTATTGATTTCTGTATATTTTAATGTATTTTATTAATGTTTGGCCACTTTTGTGCAGGTTTTATCTTCTTGGTTATGACCGGCAGTCGAAACAATAAACTGATTGATGGATAAAGCAGTGTTTCTCAGCCTTAGCGACTTTAAGAGGGGTGGACTTCAACTCCCAGAATTCTCCAGCCAGCCATGCTGGCTGGAGAATTCTGGGAGT